TTTATGTTTCCATATTCCTAGTATTGTATTACCGTGCGAATTCTATTACAATAGAAATAATAGTAATGTAGGCAAGATTAGAATGCATAACTGCAAAATAATAAAATTACCCTGGGTTATGTTTTAAGGCTACTCAAGTTGCTGTAAATTTCTTCACTAGTAAATAAAAAGAATTGATATTTAAGACTGAGAGAAAGTACAATTTTAATTACAATAAGCATTTATTTTATAACAGCAAGAACAAAGACTATAATTTTGTAACAATAAAAACTGGTAATGGATACAGACTAATTTTTTGATTCTTCAACGATAAAGTGAAACTATTAAACAATTTTATTTCAAAAATCTTACATTAACTGACAGGTATATTTTTTTAAAATATAATTATAAGTTGTAATTGCACGTCAAAACTCACGTCTTTATATTTCGTTTTCATTATTCAGTCCCTTCACCGAATAAATGTTTCAACCTGCAATTACCACTCAACATTCACGGAATATTGGAATGTCTATAAGTTGAATGAAGGACAAGGAAATTTCGATTTAATGTCATGTTTTCACATGTTATGACAGCATACTGACATATTCCTACAGGAAAAATGCACGGGTGACTCTACCATGGGCATGGTTTATGGGCAAGGCGACGATCTACATGCGATTCCAAGGAAAAGTTCAACGCTGAGTAATTTTTATTTCACTCGGTATAACGACAATGAAATTTTTTTTACACTTTAGCCAACTTGAGCAAATTGTGAAATTACAGACTTGTTCATAATCCTCCCTGAACATTATTGGCGTATTATTATAAAACAATTTAATTTAACCTTCTACCAATACAGAAATTGTTATTGTTGTTTTAATAACAAGGAACTAAAATAGCAATATTTCTCTTTATGTTTGCAAAAAATCCATTAAATACGTCACAACCAAAAATTACACAATCTAAATCGACTAATCTGAAACTTATGCAATGAATCGAGCAAAACTGATTAACAATAATAATACAACCTAAATGTCAAACAAAAATTGCACTTGCTTTGTTCACTTAAAATTTTCAAACAGGTTTTACAAATGTGAAAGTAAGTTAGGTGATAATGTTATTATATTTAATAATTTACGTAAATGTGGCAAATCAAAGACTAAAATTTCGAATTAAGTCAGAAATTTAAATGAGGACAAATTAAATGCACATTACATTATTTAAACGACAAGTAAAAATAATAAATGCACAGTAGAAATAATAAGCGTTCAAAAACAAAATTGTGATCGAGTGATTACCATTTGTGCGCAGTTTCCAGCCCTTGCTAAAATCATTCTTGCGCAGGGGCCATACATTGTAACCAAGACTGAAAATTCTTTAAATTATTTGTTGTTTTACTAATTTTGATTAAACTTACTGAGCGTTTATTATTTTTACTGTGCAAAATATTAGATTATACTAATCAAAACACTGATCGCTTTATTACTACTTAATTTAAATTAACTCTACACTAATTTAGCTCAATGTAACCTTCGACACTATAAACAATAAGTGGTGGTTACAATCCCGTCACGAAGATAGGTACTTGATCGATATTTTATGGGTACTTCCTTATTATTGGCGATTTAGAGAATGTGTGTAATGATAATTTATGGTTAAAGCTATAACCGATTTAAGACATGAAGGAACATTAAAGCTCATAATCCCCCAAGTTTTGTACAAAATAGTTAACCCACTTTGAAGTATAATTCCGAAAGATAATTACACAGATCAGCTTGCTAATTATAATTGAAAGACCAATAAAATATGAGTTTGGAACTAAAGAAGAAACACGTTTAATTTAGAAATTTCGCCATTTTCTTAATTGAAGCATATCATAGTTAGATAATGGCGAAGAAACGTTACAGAAACAACGGTACTTGGAACCAGGTGTTTGTGTCACGAACTCTTGGGTTCCCAGACGGGAACCAAATGGATTATAGGTTGATACAATATGTTGCGATGTTAACCACAAAAACATTACCGGTTTACTACCAATGACCTACGCACCTATACCGTATGTTTATTAATTATAGGGTGAATTAGGGTAACTGTAGATTCACTCCTGATGTCTATTATTTTCCATTTAACTCAAATTGGAGATTCGGTATTTGGGCCAACCAGAAATTCTTAAATGACTATCATTCGTGTGATAAAAGTGTTAAACAAAGATAATTAATAATCTTCTCGTTCCTCATTAATTAACAACAATCAATAAGCTAGATTGGCCGGAAAGAGAAGATGCCAATAAAACAATACATAATAACGTAAAAAAAAACAGTTCTAATGACTTTACAACTTCAGCTTACAGAAAACAAACAAATCATTGTTCTATAAGAAACTAATCACCAAGTCATCAGAGTTAGAGTTATAAGAAAATTTCCTAAGGCCATTACCGTAATTTTGTATTAACTAGGCAATAAAATAACATCAAAGAAAATCCCTTCATTTCTTATTACATATTTATTCTCAATCAATTAAGTTGATTTATTGTGATATTATGGTTGTATTTAGTGCTTATTAGTCAATGTTTTGCTTTTCCTGTTGGCTTTTCTACTGGTTTTCTAGGTATTGAGAAAATTTTGTATATGAAACTTAATTTTTCGGTTTATTTATTATAATCATAAAAATATAGTTTTCACTATTATGTCGAATAAATCAATAGAGCCTATACAGTTATAGAATAGTTAATTATAACACCAGGAAATGCAAAATGTTTATATAACAAGTGGTTTTTAGAAACGAGCAATTTTTCTCGAGTTTTGATTTTTGTTGAAATAATTGTAAAATTTTAAGTACAACTTAATGTCAGAAAGATAAAAATTAAAATAAAACGTAATTATACTTCTCCTAAATGAAATGATATTGAAATTTTTGAACTGAATTTGAAATTTCTGCGATTTTCATCAATTGTTACTAATTTAAAAAGTTTCAATTTGTTAATAAATATTCCTCAGTGTCTCACAATTTTCTTATACATTGTTCATAATTTGTATAAAATCAAAAACTCTTATCTGAAATTGTAGTCTAATTTTTAAATTTGCTACAAAAATAAGAAAAAATGTTTTTGGGAACGCTTGTGTTACAGAAAGAACAGAGTTTGAAAAACAAGTTGCAAAATGAGCGTGTTTTTCACTAGTCGTGTGCAAAAAAGAGCCATTTTGCATCGTGTTTCATACAAGATTTTTTCCAATTTGGTTGTTAAAAACATCAAATAAAAGCATCAAATTCGAATTTTAAATCTGTGATTTCAATAATTTTCCAAAATCATACTAGTGTCTTGAAAATAGTGTTATTTTTAGCCTATTTTAGCACTAGTGATAAAATTAAGCACATTTGACAACTAGAATGACATATCACAACAGTAAGGTGACCAACTTCAGAAAATTCAATGTTAGGACGTTCATAAAAATAATTCTAATAAATTTATTACAAAACACAAAAAAAAATGATCTTACTAATTGTATCTGTATAAAAACTTAAATGTAATAAGCAAAATATTGACATAAAAAACAAAAAAATAGGTTTTGGACCCTAATCTAATAATTAACATAAATATTAATTTATTGTTTTGTGTTAATTTCATTTTTTTTTATAAGAATTTCTTTGAGAGTTCTTTCGTTCTCTGCAAACATTAATAAAAATCTATTCAAACCAAATTAATAGTTAATTTGGTCATTATAAGCAATTTTTAAGTATTTCTACTTTCAGTTAAGTTTTTTCACAATGACCACAATTAAAATGAAAACAAAAAAAAAACTTTAACTTGAAAGATACTTTGTTTTTGCTGCAAATGAAAATCTCAAAAAACTGTACACTTAGGTGTGTTAGTCCTTAAATCGGGACAAATCAGAACATAAACGTAAAACAGGATAAACAATAAAAACCTAAACATGTACATCTTACACAATAGTTACTTTTCACAACCAAATTGGAAAAAATAAAATTTCACATTTAACAGCAACTAATTTTTTTTTGCAATTCATCATAAAAACTAAAAATATTATCAAATAGATATAATCGCTTGGTTTAATTATTATTACCGATAATAATTCTCATAAAACCGAAGCTCATATCATTGATAACAATCATATAATTTCTTATATGAGCGAAGAATATTCAAATCACGTTATCCTTCTGGGATTACTTAACATTACGATAATAATTTTTATTAGTTATTTTTATAGTTATTAGCACTTTCGTGACATTGTATCATTAGGCTGTGTCCTAGACAATAAGAAAAATGTTTAAAAAATGTATCTATAAAAATTTCGAAGTTTTGAAAGTTTAAATTTTGCACTTTGACTATTTATTTCTCTTGAAAAACTATTTTTTTAAGGAAACAAGAGGAACTTGTATTCTAAATTGTAACTGTGTTTAGTGCTATTTATGGTTTGTATTGACAAAATTTTTGTACCTTTACTAAATAATTATTAAAAAAAACATATACAAGATCATCAGTATCATTAAATAGACATAAAAATTGTCAAATGTCAAAATCGAATTATCTAATTGTCTGGTTTGCATTTTGAGATCAATCTGCAGCCATCAATTTAAAACTTTGCGAAATACACGATTTTTTCATTAAATTACTCCATGCTTTAGTACTTAAGCGAGAAAAGTAACTTCATGATATGAATTAAAATCATCATTCAAGCTGATGTAACAAATCTAGGTAAAAGTCAAAGAGCATTCGAATAAATCGTGTATAGTTGATCTCGTGCTTAACGATCACATTTCAGCACTATAAAATATAAGTATATAAATTTTAATGTCGTCTTTCTTCGCTAAATAAGCTTCTCGGTTAAAGCCCATTGAATCATCTTCGTTAAAGACAGCCATTTCGACTTAATTTATAGTGCAACATATTTTCATGAAAAAAAATGCTATGCAAATGTCTGCATGAAAGTGAATTACTTTACATAACTGAAGAAAGAAGAAAACAGAAATTGAAAAACACAAACATAAATACTGAAACTTACCTTTGTTTATAATGGTTTTCTACCTCTTCCAGTTTCACTTTCCTGTAACAAAAAACTTGGTTATTATCAGGTAGACACCTACATTTTGTTCATTTGTTATGCATCACTGCACTGCTATCACAAAAGTTCTAATTTTTTTATTGTTAATGTAATGTAATTATTACACAGGCTACCGGATATTACAATGTCGTTAAACTCGTGCTAGAAACTACTCTTTGCAAATGGTTAAAAATCATCTATCATTCAAAGTCAATTTTTTTTTAAGAAATTGAGCAGTTTTTTTCAGCTGAAATGTAAATATTTTTGGCAATTTTGTTATAACAATCAGAAAAAACATCAAATTAAGACAAATATGTTAAATTTGTGCTTTTTTAGTCATTATGCTAACTTTTTAATTTCAGAACTCAGTTTATTATTACGCTACAAAATAGAATTACATAGAAATAATGATATCTTATTTTTTTTAACACGTTTTGACTAGAAGTGCAATTTTCTTTTTAAAAACTTAAATTAGGTAATTAGGCTTTTTTTTAGTTAAGTTAATTTTTAATTTTTGTTGTTTTTTGAAAGTTTTAGCAAACAAATTTGTATGCATTTATTATATAAAATTCTGTTTTTTAAAAGATGTCGCGAAATTGTTCAAAAATAATCACTCTTGGTAGAAAATAGCAATATTTTTAGTTTTTTGTAGCATTTAAGCACGTTTTATGTTAAAAATTAAGTTTTATTGTAAAATTTTGCTGCAACTAATCAAAAAAATTAAAAAATTAATAAATTATAATAATAAATAATGTAAAATAAAAAAAATCACAGCACATGTAATCAAAAAAAAAATTGATTTTTTAGTAGTGTTGTCTTTGCCTTTGTTTGATTAAGCAAGATTTTCAAAAAAATTTGTAAAACCTTAAAAATTTTAAATTAAAAAAATCACCAGATCAATTTACGATTCTAAATGAGGCATACCATGACCATGTACTTTCGCATTGTGATGACTTTTATGCCTACATTATTTTACCATCCTCAATATCAACTTTTACTAAGTCATCAAAGTTGGACAGCAACAGTAATTACAGAGAATTAAGGTTAGAAGTTAAATAATGGCTTCAATCTGGCTATAAATTTCAATTACTACAAAGATTGTAAAGTAGCCATGTCAAGCAACATTCATCACAATATAATTAGCTCATTTTGGGATCACAAAAATTACCAAAATTGCTCTGACATACTATATCCAAATAATTTAGATTAGAATCCAATTTTAATTTGAAATTCGCAACCCACAAAAAGATAAATCAAACTTGTCAGCTGCTCCAATTAATTATTTCTCCTAAATTAGTTTTTATAAAGATACATGTTTTATTCCTTCAGTAACAGTTCAAGGTTGCGGCGCCTGAATTTTCTATGCAAATAAAAGCAGTTCAAAACAATATATTGTTGTAAACATGTAATAAATTAGGACGACAACTATCTAATTTACGGTTGCTCTAAACTTAATTAAATAATCAGATGTTTTCATAAAGTGTCAGAAATATTGTCAAGAAAAAATTAATTTGGTTCATCTTAAATTCTTCTTAAAATCATTTGATTTAATGTGTCACTTATTTAAATTAGAATAATAATAAGCAAGGTCTAGTTTTTTGTGACTCACCTTGTATTAAAAAAATATGAACTGAGTGTCCCAACTAAAATTTACGTTTGGAAAAAATCCTGAAACAGGTCGAGTGACAGATTATTTTGAGCGGTATATTAAATTGAATTGTTTTTTCATAACCACATTTGGTTTCTCTCAAAAAAATCGTTTAAAATTTGACTATACTCAAAAATTAGTTTTGAGAGAAATTGCATTAATAAAAAAATCAAGGAGCTGTTTAATATTATTGAAAATTGCTGAGGGTCTAAATTTTGGTAAATATTTGTGTATTCAAAGAAAATTTCTCCCTCATAACTCAGAAAACAATTTTTATGAGTTATCACAGTTTTTTAGGAGAGTCGAATTAAAAAAAAAACATGGTTGCATAGATAATAGACATCAAAGTGATGTGTCATTCGACCCCTTTTGCTATTTAATTTTTTTGAAGATGTTGGCTCTGGGATGCAGAAAAAATTTTGAAACTTTGATGATATTTAGTCCCCTTTTAAGTTAAAATAGGTCTGTTTCAGCATTTTTTGAGACTTGGAGAAAATCGGAGATTTTAGAGGGGTCCAAATTTTGGTTGGGACAGCCTGTATTAAAAAAAATACGTCAATCATCTATTTATTATTCATTCTAATTTATTTATTTTTTTCTCTAATTATATCGATTATCTTCCAGTCGTATTTGGAATTAAGAAAGTTCAAATGACAAGATCATTTTTAAAGGGAAAGCTGCTCTTATTTTCCTTATAAAAGGTGGTTGTTTTAACCAAAAAAAAAAAACTGAGTGAAATTATTATGAAAAAATCAAAGAATTAAAATACTTTAAAAGTGTAAATGTAAAAACACATTTCTTTAAAATATTTTGAATGTTCACCATCTTTACAGTTAGATAATTTCACTTTTGGATTGACGGTAACAATAATTATTATGCTTGTTTATGTGTCACACGCAATGATGTCAACAAGCGTCTTCCTCGTTAAATTCAAGTTGTTTTTATATTTTTTTAACGGATTTCTTCACTTAACGAAATTATTTATATCCAAATTCGGAAAAGTTTTTTTGGGTTTTTAATAAAAGTAGTTACCGTATTTTGGCTTTTTAATTATTATCAAAGAATGGGAAAAATGTGCCAGATGTATAACCATTTAAGACAGATGGCCAAAAATCTCTACATATGGTTGTGGTTTTATCAATATGATCTATACCTTCAATGGCAAAGACACGAAACACAATAACACAAATAATCTTCTTCTTGACCTCTTAGAAACCAATTTACTTCATCACGCTTTCGGTTTTTATTGTCTACCAAAAACAAAAGGTATTCTGTTTTCAAAAAAAAAAACTAGATTTTGAAAAGTATTTTAATCAGAAAAATGTTCTGGTAATGGGTTTCCATAATTAAGTCATAAAATTAAACAGTGGATGAAGAAAATTAGCTTAAACTGGTTGTTTACATTTGCCAATCAATTTGATGAGAAATTGAGAAAATTTTTTGTTTCAATATTTTTTTCAATATTTATTTGTGCTCCAGGTCGTATAGCGCTTGCAGCTAAGGTGAATGTCGTCATTAAATCACCAATTAATTAAATCCTCAATACTTCTTTATAGTCCTTAGAGACTAACGAAGAAAACGAAAAGTTTTAATTATGAAAAGAAACTTCACACGTGATGGACAATGTAATGTAAATATTTTTCATCTTAATTAACATTTGGCTTCAACAAGAGACATCAGTTGTTTCCTTTAATTAGAAGTAACAGTGCGAACAAAAACACTTTTATCTCTGTGCAGTTTTGTCTTTTTAATGCACCTACTTTAACAATTGAAGGCTTTAGAATGGTTGTAGATTACGTCAACTTGCTCTCCTTTTGTCTAGTGATCTGTTGATACGCATTAGATTAGTTGTGGTTGACCTACCTTATAAATCCAATCCTGTTTGATTATCATCTTGCAGAGATAAATGATTGCTTTCTTGATGCTTGAATGGATTATTTATTGATATACAGGGTGTTTTAGCGAGTTGAATAAATCCATTAGTGACTTTTAAATAATAAAATTTAAAGAAATATATATAGAACATTGATAGATACTAATCATCGCCTAAAATTATTTTCAACTATACAGCGTGTCTCAAAAATAACTTACAATACAAACTTGTGTTTTTTAAATGAAACAACATATGTTTCTTAGCGTTTTTGGATGTGGATTTTTATGACAATGTTTTTAAGCTAAACTTTTATTGGTCGATTTTGCTTAGTTTTAAAAATAAGACAGTTTTTAACGAAAACATGCACTTTTTCAAAATATATTACAGAAAAACTATGCACAAAATATTAAAAAATATGCTCCAATATATGCCAAATATGCATCGATAAGCAAAATTTTTAACAATAAAAAATCAAAATTGGGATAAATTTTTTTCCTCAAATACACTAAACTTTGTATTTTCGTCATCTTGAACTGCACACGATAAATGAAAAAATAAATAAATTGGTTTGGCGTGAGACAAAATCACATCACGTTTTTTGCTTAAAGTATTTATTTAAAAAAAAAAACTATTAATTATATTAATTATAAAGTTCTATAGAAATGTGATGTTTTATCAAAAATAAAAATTTTCAAAATTCAGCAGGGTACTAATTTTTTGAGTTTGGCTTACGAATTACCGGTTGTTTTCTCTTTAAAATATATGCAAAATATGCATTTTTTATTTGGCTTATTTTAATCAAAAAACATTAGATATGCATAGAAAACTTACAACTTTTATATAGGTATAATCCGAGCCTTAGTTATAATATCAGAACAAACAAAAAATATATTACATAATTTATTAAAAATTACACAGGACAACACAAATTTTGTCTTTGATAATAGAGTATGAAATTTTGTTAGATTCATCGATAAGTTAGACAAAAAAATATATATGACCTGAAAAAGTTTGCTGTTGAATCCAGGAGAACGGTTGATCAATATTTTAGAAAATTCATAGTTTAAATTTTTATTTGTAAAAAATTCGAAACAAATATATTTATGTATAAATTTTTATCCTCTTTTAATATCATATCAAATTACAAAAAAATACGAAATAATAGAAAAAAGTTCATAAGTAAACTTCTTTCATGTTTATAAGTACTTTGTTTCACTAAACTCCAAATGTAGTCCCCCATCATATTTTCGTTGTATTAGCCCTGATAACAGTGTTCGAAGTCCATGATGTCTTGATGAAAATGTTCTTCTTGTTCTTCTGAATACGCCCCCATGTGGTTTTCAAATTTATCTAAATGAGCATATGTACTTTTAGAGACATTCTGCAGCCCATAGTTTTAAAGTTTTCTAACATGTTATCAACTTTGTTATTCCCTAATAATCCAAAGACTACTCCTTTAAAACCTTTCCAACTTTTTTGTTG